TTAGAATCAACATGCATTTAGATATTCGGCTGCCATTAATTTCCACATAAGCCACTTCGTTGAGCCGTCATTTGTGGCCAGGTCGCTTCTGAAAAGGAGCTAATAGCTCAGTGGGCCTTACCTAGTAAATTAACTAGTTAAAAGTAGTTTATTTAGAAACTATATAAACTTAAATTGTTGTTAATCCAGTAATCTCGAACAGTACCTTGTAAATATTCACCTTTCCACCCCCACGGGAAGATCTTATCAATTGTCAGAATTTGTGGTCATGATTCATAAGTATATTATTCATTTGCATGGTTTTATGGCTGTTTCTACAGTAGCTTATTTTCCATATGTTCACTTTTGCTCAATACTAATTTCCCGAATGCAATATTGGCATATAACGCGCAAACACTTTTTAAAATATATTGTTAAAAGCATGATTTAATGCACACACCATGCGTGTTAGAATCTATTTCAATCAGCGCATGGTTAAGTGTCTATCTAACCTAACATTAACCTAATGGTAGAGAAAGTTGCATAAGCGTGTTTGGCATAAGCCCTGATGTTAAGGAATTCGATGGGGGAGTCCCCTTTCAAATTTTCCACCTCATTTGCCATAGCTCAGTGCCTCGGTCCCTCCCAAACCGTGAGCCCCTGTGCAATTGCACCGCCTGCACACTCGATAGCTACGTCACGGGGCACAGATGGAGTTCCCGCAACATAAAACAGCAGCAGATTCGCTGCGGAAATACCCTCATGGTAACGCAATTCCATAGAGATCACTTACATTCGATGAAATAAACGCCAGTGAAAGTGAACAGTGGTCATGTTAAAGGACTTGTTTGGAAATTAATAGTGGTGGGATAAAGCAGTACATTTCGTAGATTTTAAAACGATCTTCTCCTTGTGGTGCACTCCTGCTCGGGTCCCATGCCTCACTAATTGGTTATCGCAGGACGCAACATCATAACAGCGTCAACCGTTTTCGAGAGCAATTTTAATTTTAAAAAAATTCTGCGTCTCCCCCTGAGAATTGGCGCCTTCAACAACAAGAGGCTAAGTGGGTGTCCCATGCCCGTGCGTGGCCGTTTCAGTCGCTGTATTTTAGTGGGAGGATTTTAGCTTTGGACTCATCAAAACGTAGTGCTCTGCTTTGACGCTTCGAGTTATAAAACCAAGGGTTAGGGTTGACCGAGTGGCTGAGTTGGATAATTGTCCAGAGGGAGGCAGCAGTGTGATTTTGGGTTTGAACTCTGACTCTGCCAGCGTGATTATAACGGGTGCACGGTGTCAGCTCAGTTACCAATAGTTGCACCAAGGCACATGTTATAACTTTGGATTTGCACGTAATTTTGCACAAATATTCGAGCTCTGAAGACAACATAATTGTCGTTTGTCATGCAACGCATATTATTTGCAGTGATAGAAAAAACATTGAGTCGTTCTGTGACATCATCTTCCATGGCCATACCCTAACGCAATGTGAAGCTTGCCAGGGGTGCAATGATGCATACATTTATCAATATTGATTCTTAATGTCACGATGCACGTGTGTAAGAATCCAGGTTTTTGAATAGACGTTCGATTGCATGCAATGTGTTTACATCACCCCTACAGCTACCAGAGGTATTTCCATTCACCATTGAATTGACTCTTGAAATCATATCAAGACCATGAATCATGAAAATTCATGGAATCGCTCATTGCACGATACTAATGGCGTAATTTTGATATTATATCCTACAATCCAACTGCCCATTGTCAATCCACTGCAGAATGACGGCCACTCGACACATCGCGTCAGTCGTCAGGGTTGTTGGACCGTACTTTATCAGTCAGTCAGTTCACTTTGGGTAAGGCCCACTTAGCTAAGAAGCTCTTTGTCAAGGGTGATGCGGCTGAAGCAGCTGATCACGTTACATTGGAAGGGCCGGGTTTACAAGTACAACACAAAAATAAAGGAAATTTGATAAAAAATTACGAATAAACAATTCGAAATAACATCAATACCGAAAGAACAAAAAAATAATATCATGCTGGTCAATGTCTGTTGGAAGGGGAGGCCAGAAATAGAACTGATATTAACAGGTTCGATGTGCAGTGCACAAATCACGGCTACAAAGCAAGTTGTGTCAGGGAAAAAAAAACGTTAATTAGTCACGCTGTGATTTCAAATCCAAGTTGCACTGCAAAGCGGGTTGCCAGTCAAGGGGAAGGCCTTGGGAAGGCACCACACTCTGGTGAGGCCCCACGCGAGATGTGCGTGACATCCAGCCAGGGACAGACCACGAGAGGGTGACAGACGGGCACGGACAGACTTAAGTCAGAAAGCGACGCCTGCCATCGCTTACCATCGCACTCCAATCCATCCGCATCGCGAGTAATGATGATGTCTCTTCCTCCACGACCCGATCCACCCCGCGCCGCTCAAAAAGCCGTTTGTCATAACGCATCCGTTATTCACCCGTGCCTCAGTTGCTGTGGCGCGCTAAGATTTTATGTTCTCGCTGGAAAGTCGCCCCCACAGAGCACGAGCCAGGCTCAAGGCTGGCTTAGCTTCCGAGATCTGACGAGATCGGGCGCATTCCGAGTGACACGGCCATAGGCGTTCTGCATAATTGGAAGATAAAATTGTGCAAGTGGAACGCACCTGCTTGGAAGTCCCTCAGAATGCTAAGCACGTTAGCTCACGGTTTATATTGCTATACAAGTACAGTAAAACCTTGGATTGCGAGTAACTTGGTCTGCGAGTGTTTTGCAAGACGAGCAAAATTTTTAATGAAATATTAATTTGATAAATAAGCAAGGTATTGCAATACGAGTAGCAGAGGTCGCAAACGGGTTTTGATTCCTTACCCGTACCCGGCCGCACCAGGGTCGAAAACGGGTACCCGTACCCGTACCCTACCCGATACCCGGCTACCCGTACCCGGCCGGGTATCGGGTAGGGTACGGGTTCCCGATTGCGACCTCTGGGATGAAGCCATGTTGCAGGCGCGGGTGGGTTGATTCTAAGAACTTGAATTGTGAGAAGAGACAAGACGGTGGGAAATGAGTGACAAACGGTTACGCACCAGTGACTCATGGCCTACCCGTACCCGTACTCGGCCGCACCAGGGTCGCAAACGGGTACCCATACCCAGCCGGGTACAGGTAGCCGGGTATTGGGTAGGGCACGGGTATTGGGTACCCGGTTGCGACCTCTGACGAGTAGTACGTGTATACGCTTTGTCTGCCGAGCGTCACGTGATCACAACTGATATACGAGTGCTTTGGATTACATACACGTTTCCGGTACTTGTTAATCCAGTCAGGTGGTACTTGTTAATCTAGTCAGGTGACACAAGCCTTGAGTAAACAGCTCCCAATCGAAAGGCTGTGTTTAAATCCTGGCCTGCGGTTGACTCAACCCATCATCCTTCCGTGGTAGATAAAATCATTACCAGTTTGTGGGGAGGTTCAACAGTGCTTGCCCTACGGATTAATTTGCCGCTGCCATAGGAATGAGGCATTTCTGGGTCAATGCTCATTTGAGCAGGAAGCCATTGACTTACAAAATAAATATATTAATAGGGGTGGAATGATATATCGGCTGACAGATTTTTATCAATTGCTAAGCGTCCGATATAAATATGGAATCGCATGTTTTTTTGGTTCGTACATGTTGTAGTAATGGGTTCACGTCACCCTTGAAGCCACTAAGAGCGCTACACATCAACGCAATGTTGAGTCTAAACTACGAGTCAAATCAGAGCCCTGACTTTTGACAATTCATCGAATCGCCGGCAAATCGTTCCGCCAAAGTTACCCGCGAACGGTGAGGGTAGCACGGTATCTATCAGCTGGCACAAGCGGAATATTGTTTTTGTGTACTTGCTTAGTTTTAACAAATTATGTCAAGCACGGAAGTTAAGTGAGCATTCTACGCGCCTAACGCAATGTGCATGCAGCGAGCGCCTGTTAACGTGCACATCTCTCCGCCAAACTGGACTTCTAAGGACATGAAGCTGACCGAGGCCCACTTATCATCACTCGGCTATAACACCAAAAAGGTCGAGACTTAAGAGAATCACAACAAACCTTACTCTGCCTTACTCTACCTTCAAACGGTTAATCAATGATTTATGCTCCTTTTTGGCTTTGGACCAAGAAAAACCATCAAAGCCGACTCACCCACGCTCCGTGTGCATTTTCTCTTGGCGGTTTGATACAGCGGCTTTTCAAAAAGAAAGTGGACGAAAAAGGATGAAGCGTTTTATCCGTTAAGGGCAGGGCAATATGGCTAATGGACAGAAGGGTTCGCGTGTTTACAAATTGCATCTACACAGCTATTATTGGGCAGTTAATTCTTTTCAACAGCTGCGCATCCATCACTGGGCACGCAAAGTTGGGTCGGCTGCTATTTGACCGAGTCCACTCGGACCCTACAGGAAGCTTCAACGGTCGAGAATGTTTTCTGGATAAATTTTAAGTCGTTTCAGGTGTACAAAATGCTGAACATCTGAACGCAGGAATATGCTAAGATCTTGAAATATATTATTGTTAATATTTGATGAACGGCATGAGCATTGTCAAACATGCATAAAAGAAAATGTAAAGACATGTATAGCATGAGGTGTCCAGGAAAAACTTGTTAACCTACACGTATAAATATATATATACAAGATTTCCCCTGCTGGCTTCAACAATTCATCATCTCTCCATAGACGGTCAGACAAAGAATTTAATCACTGACATGTTTCATCCATTCAATCTGCCTACTGTCAACCAAAAAAAGTCTATTTTCTGGACAATGAGACTTTGTGAGTGTTATCAAGTTTTTCATTTGTAAACGCGAATATATTAAAAGGTGCCTTAAATCTGCCAAACTTCAAAAAAACCTCTCGTTTTGCTTGCATTGCCTTCTACGGGCATCTCACGGTAGGACACGACGAGAGGTGTGGAGAAGGGGCGAGGTGAGGGAGGGCTCGAGGAGGGGTGGGCGGGAGGGAGGGAGTGGCACAGTGTGAGGTCACCTGAAACTCTCGGGGTATTCGCTGAGGGCCATGTCGAGGATGTTGAGCGCATCCTGGTGGTGCTTCTGCGCCGACAGGAGCAGGGACAGCAGGTGCAGCGAGTTGAGGTCGTCGCCCTGCAGCTGCAGTGCCTGCCGGACGTAGCCCAGCGCCTCCGGGATCTGCGGCACGGATGACGGCACGCGCGGGTTACGGCTCGTCCGACCGCGCTAGCCACCTGCGGCGTTGCCCGTCGCGGCGGGGACGACTATCTATTTCGCCACGATCGATCAAGTGCGGGTGGGCAAGCGGGTCATGTCAGTTAACGGTGCCCAAACGGGTAGGGTGATGCGGACGTAGTCATAATGCTTAGCACGCCGGATTCGTAATCCCTAGGGGGGCAGCTGCCGTGGTATAATGGTTAGCACAGGGGACTTGTTATCCAAAGGGAATGATTGGGACAAGTTGTAATGATAAGCATACTGGACTTGTAATCCAGGTGGTCGGTTCCATCTCCTGGGGGTTGGGGTAATGGTTAGATTCTAGATTTGAAGCTTTCGTGACTGCAAGGATTCATACTCTTAGTTATTTCAGTAAAGTCACGTAGGTAAAAAATGAAATTAAAATGAATGAAAAATAAAAACAATAAAATCACGACGTTTCGGAGGCAACACAAGCTTCCGTCTTCAGGTGAAACTGTCACAAATTTTTTGCTGTGACAGTTTCACCTGAAGACGGAAGCTTGTGTTGCCTCCGAAACGTTGTGATTTTTATTTTTTTATTAATTTTAATTTCATTTTTTACCTACGTGACTTTACCGAAAGAACTAAGAGTATAATGGTTAGATGGCCTTGTGAACCCATATGTGGCCACATTCTTGATCTCTTTGCTGACTTTCCTATTCCTGCTTGACACCAACCATTGTTACCATGTGCAAGAATGACAGAGTAAGATAAAAATAAGGTTGCTTTAGGGCTTAACGTGTAAAATGCTACCACATTCGCAAACATCTTGATATTCAGAAAGTGATTTTTCAAAGCTTTGTGAAAAAAATTACAACAGAGCTCCTACTCCCCTCGGGAAGAGCAAATCTTTGCTGTGGTAAGCAGGAAAGAGCGAGCATACATAGTCAAGTCCAAGTGATTTCCTGCTCAAACGAGTATTAAGGTCATGCGCAGATCCAGTTCACACCACTGAGCCAGTGATGTAAGTGCCACGTGATTATGACAGGGGCTAGTCGATCCGTCGGACAACCATTATAGACTTTCCCACAAAGCGGCGCTTATTTTATAGAGCCCAGAGAAACGATGGACTGAGTTGTGACACCCCAACCAGGATTTTAATCCGCAACCTTTCCAACTGCGAGCCGCTCACTCTTCGGCTGAGCCAACTGGCCGCTTGCATTAATGTCTCGGGGTGAATGCAGCACGAAGCCCCCTAGTTACCTGTCTGGATATGGCCAGCTGGAGAGCCAGGTAGAAGGACGTCTGATGGTCATCAGGGGCCAGGTTATAGGCCCTGCACACCACAGCACCCAGAGAAACAAAGACAAAGATCCCCCCCCCCGTAGCGCCTTTACAGACTGTTGGAGCAAGGGCTGTTCTCGCAAGCACCTATGAAAGTCGGCACGGCACATGAGGGTGTAGGTAGCCAGGACCACGCCCGTGGTCTCCCGAGGAGCGATGTTTACACACACCGCACCGGGTACTCATTTGAGGCCGAGTCGATTTAGGGGAGGCCCAGGACCGTTTCAGATATTCGTCACCAATGTTGGCTGCGAACAGGAATCGAACTCGGGTTGCCTGCTAACCGCTACACCGCCACTCCCCACCAAGAGATGTAACATGCAAATGCACACACATACACACACACACGTGGAGAATGAGTAGAACAAGGATGCAAACGACACACAGATGCAAAGAATAGGCGATGAGCAAATGAATAAAAAGTTGAAGAGGGAAAGAGATTGGAATGGGTTACGTGGGACAAGGGGGGGACAGAGTGGAGGGGGGGGGGGGGAAGTGCACAGAGAGGAGAAACAAGAAGAGCAGATGCAGAGGGTTGAGATAGAAAATCAGGAGGGCAGCCAAAGAACATCAAAAAGAGTGCAGAGATGTGCAGATTGAGGGATCAATTACACGTTCTTTTTAAAAATGCTTTCTGATTGAAACCACATTACTAATGCATGGACTTCCAAGCTAAGATGCCCTTTTTCAATACTTTTTTAAATGCATTTCCATGTTTCTTTTTTTTCCAGCGTAGTTCAAAATCAGCAGAACGGAGCAGAAATTAGGAAATAAGTATTTTTTCATCGGCTGTGGTGGTGGAATACACCTGTGATCCAGCGCTTCGGGGGCAGGGTTTGTGAGTGACACCAATGTAACCAGATTGACGAGACACTGAACAAATCTCACCGTTACGACCATGAGCTTCATCCGAGCCCAATGAGACTCCAAATACATTTTTTATAAGAGAGGCCTGGTATGCATACAGAATATGAGGTGACCTGTAACAGGCAGTACAGCAAGTAGGTCAACTGGTCTGCCAATTGATGCCTGCTCCCGACAGCTGCTCATTCATTCATATGATACCTCTTCAGAGGTTCTATCAAGATTAGAAGCTAATTGAAATTAGAGTAAACAATAGCCAAAGTAAAAAAGTAAAAAGTACATGTAAACACAAAAGTTTAAACTATGTTACCAGTAAAAAAAAGCAGTACCGAACTAGGAAATGTTCCAGTAAAATGTAACCGAATCGGGTCTGAATTGCTTCACTACATTTTAATAATTGTAATGCATTAAAGCCAGGCATTAACAAAACGCAGCACACATTTACATGAACGCCTTTATGCGAGAAAGTAATTTCTCGCTTAAAACTGTGAAGAACTGATCCGATTTTACGAGTGCCCTCACCGTTATTAAACCACGGACGCTTGGCCAAACACACGAGGAATTAATAGAGGGGCGATCGGCCAGCTTCGTATGAAATGCATAGCAGCAATTACTGAGATTTTCCCGCAATGCTCTGAGGCCCAGACCAATTTCCTTCAAATACAGTGAACACTTGCCCTGCCACGGAAGCCATCCCTAAAGCCCCATTATTTCAGCGATCGCTCAAAGAGGAACGGGGGCTCGTGGTGGCAGACGCCCCCGACTTTGTCTTCAGCGGCCGTGTCGTAGAAATGGCTTTGTGCCATGCGGGCGACCAACCCACAATCGGGCGCAAAGACAAAGGTCCCCCGTGTAGCCTTAACCGACCGTCGGGGTCAAGTGCTGTCAGCGAGCACCTATGTAGGCCGGAACGGTACAAAACGAAGGGGTGAGAAGGCAGCACCACGCCCAACCGCCTTTGTCTCCCGAGTAGCGATGTTTACACAGTGCACCGGGCACTCGTTCGTGGCTGAGTCGACCTAGTGGAGGCCCAGGACCGGTTCAGTTAATCGTCACCGGTATTGGCCGTGAGCGGGACTCGAACTCGCGCTAACCGCCGCGCCACCGCTCCACAACCGGGGCGCATCCACCTGGTCACCAGCGCGACGCGGTGCGATCGAGCGGTCCTGCTCGTCCACGACGGTGCATTCACCGCGTCCCACTGCGGCGCTCCGCGCTTCGCGGCGCATGGAGGACAGGATAACCGGAATTAATTTCGAGAAATAAATTAAATGCTCTTCCAACCCACCACTGGCTGCTCTTTTATCCTTCAAGGGAGCGTGGGTCACACCGTGAATAGTTTATGAGCAATGCCGTGGCGCAAACAAGTGCGCGCACTTCCACTCGGTGTAAACCGTCCAGCCAGTGCGGCGGGGTGAGCTGACCTCTGCCAACCTTTACTTTGACCTCATTTCACAGCTTTGACAAACCGCGGTGAACACCGCCAATGTAAACCCTTTCAAGGGTGTTGCTTTACAATGCACAATGTGTAGTTGCAGTCAGACCCCCCAGTGCCGACACAAAAACGTGTTTCAATTACTCCACCCATGTTGAGAGCTCGGCCTAGCAGATTGACAGTTTCATCTCATCCATACCGTGGTGCTTGGTTACGTAGGGTGCGAAAGAAGTTCAACATACATACATACTGTCTGTAGGTACAAGTGCTTCCAATTTGGCTTCTTGACTCACACCGCTTGACTCTGGAAATCCCTCCCATCGTGTCTCTTCCAAAATTGTCATGACCTTGCTCAATTCTAGAAAGGTGTTAACTTTGACCTCTTACACCTTCAACAGTGCTGTGTGCTACAGGTCCACTTAGCATTGTGTGCCATTGGGCCTGTGTTCAGCAGTCGTGATAAAAAAAAAATCTAAGCCCTCCAAGGGCTCGCCGCAGTCTATAAGGCCATTCCCGCAGACGTCTGCATCAATGATTTCGTTTTAATGTCTCACCAAGTACTACAGCACCCAGGGCATATCACCGGAAACGTGCGTGCACTGCGCATCGTGTGTGCGGCGGGGTGGGGGGGGGGGTGGGGAGCGTGAGACGGGGTGGGGGCCCTTGGGACAGGAAGGACAGCAGAAGATGAAATGGAACGCGCAACGATTTTGAGTGGCCCATTCTTTTCGGGAATGGTCAATTTTTTACAAGCAAAAGCAGCCATGCCTCATCGGTGTGCCGTGAGGGTAATTGCGCTCATCTGTCTGTGGCTCAGCTCCTAGACGAAATGGGGACGTCCCTTATTAAATGCGTACCTTATCTGGAATTAACTGTGCTGCGGATGCTCTCGGGATGGGTGCGGATATTTGCCGTCTCCCCGGGTTCATTCACGAGCTCCGTGTAAAAGATGTCATTTTTTTTTTTTACGTCAACAGGCACACGGGAGGAATTTAAAATAAAATGACAATCACGTATGAAAAAGGCACGCGCTTTCGTTCCGAATGCATCCGTCTTGCTCAATTTCCGTACGAGATTGCTTTTTTTAACTTCTTTGTCTCGGCAGAATGCACAGCACCATGTTGCAAAAAGTACAAAATGCAAGGCGAGCATTTAGGGTGCATTTCATCGGCAAAAAAATGCGATTAACACATCGCTCGCTCTTTAGGTCTCAGTGTTGATGATGCACTTATCATCATCGCCGTGAGCCCATTGAATCTTTCCGTCTGAATACCCATGCCTTTAGTTCTGAGATTTTTAACATCATTATTTATTAGTGGAGGACTGAACTTATTACGATAAAGATTTGCCGTGGAGATGGAGAAATTCATTCGGTTTCATGTGCAACTGCTCAACGGATTGTTCCAGCATGGGACTGTGATTGCAATGGGAGGCCTTTATTCAGCAGTGGATCAATCAAGACCAATGATGATGATGATGATGAAAGTGATTAAGTGCCTCGGTAAAATTACATGCACTGTCTGCAGACTTACTTAACATTCATCACTTTACACATGCTGTGTTACTCCCAGGAACCTATGCACACAATAAAGAATTCCTGTACTATCGTAACTGGAAGAGTTTGTTTTCTAATAAGTTTCGTGCATTACCTTTGGAAGGCCGTCAACGCTTTCCTTTGAAGCTCCTCGCGGGTAGCTCGCAATGTCGCTGCGAAAAGAACGGGAATATATATTTTGAAAGATCTATGTACAAAGACACTCTTACTTTATCATACCATTTATATAAAACAAAACCATCAACATAAATATATTGCATGAACTCCATGAACTTGCTCCTGCCTACCTCTCCATCTCATCTCGCTCTACTCCCCCCCACCCGCCTTCCTGTGTTCTCCAGCAATAAAGGCCCTTCTGTCGAAACCCTCGGACAAACTTCGCTCATGTTTTTGTTTTTTGTTTGTTGCGGTTGCACCCGATTCAAGAGCTGAATGGCTCACAGGGCTATACCTAATAAATGAACTTGAACTTGAACAGTGGAAAGACTCATTTCTCCTCTGGTGCACCTTGAGCCTGGAATTCCCTTTCCACAGCCACCTGTGCTGTTCACATCGAGTCTCAAGACCCGTCTCTTCTCCTCCCTATGATAGCTAGTCTGTCTCTTTTTTATGAAAAAGCATCCTATCCCTGTGATGCGCGACCTGTTGTTTTTTTGTGCAGCACCTTGAGATGCGCTCAATCTTAGGCACTGTATTATATCCGCACTGCAATGTCCATTCTAAACATGTGGAAGCTGTGCAGCAGGCGAGGAACAAAAAAAGCCGGGCTACAGAATTCACATTCTGGATGCAACAACAAAGTGATCGACATTTCCATTTTCACCACAAACTGTGCAAATGAAACCTATCTTACGCTCTTCTCTCTCGCTCTCTAGCCGTAACAACACAGAGCACACTGCAGAGGCGAAAGCCCATCACGACTTGTGAATAAACCTGTAGAAATTTAATATTTTTCCCCACACAAACCAGTCCGGTAAAATATACTTTTGTGCAACCTTTTGCGTCGCCTAAGAATAGGCGGCTCATGAGAGTGCTCGCGTTGGCAGAGATGTCGCACGTCTTTCAGAGCGAATGGCAACCTCCCCCCTTATGATCGCCACCACGCGCCGGGCAGCTGTCCACAATTACAACAGCCGACCCCGCAAAGTGCCACGCGGCTATAAAACCTTCGATCACACGGAATCGTTTTTTGTTTCACGCGACCGCTTTTTGAACCGCGGCGCAGTGGAAATAAAATGCTTATTTTTAAACAAACGCGTCTCACATGCTTCCCCCCCCCCCTCAGCCTTCTCAACGGGAATGGCGACGTTGTGTGCCAGGGGTTCACAATGCAAGCGTGCCCCGCGCATTACCACTGCGGTGCGTCACAGAGGGGGTCAACGGGGCGTTTGTCCAGGGGGGATCTCTGGCAGAATGTCCGCCACGGGCTCAGACCCGCCAATGGAGACGCGAACACGAGGACCGCCCAACACCGACATGAGCGTGTGGCATACCTGTCAACCCGTACGGTTTGCCTGTATTCTTGTACAGGGAAACTGAATTGGTCTGTAATAAGGTAGGCACTGATAAGGTGTCGATAGGTATGATGTCGGGTCTCACTTTGAATTGCCACCTCAACCAATGACACAAGATAATTCGTCACAAACACATGGATCAAGGTGGGGGGGGGGAATGCAAATCAGAGACGGGCCCATACCAATCAGTGGGCTTAAGCAGGGCACATCGTCAGAATGGACCAAGGCCGATGAACAATTCGTGGTCAAATTGAATTCAATAATTACATATTTCTTCTAACTTTAACAGTGCTAATCGCATTTTATACTATTTATCATTTGCCCAGTTATGGGTTTTTTAAAAAAAAAAAATCATGAAACATTCGTTTAGGAAATATTTTGCGTAAAACATGATAAGTTTCCACATTCACGATTTGATATATGTAACTTGAGCTTAAGTAAAAACAAATTTTTTAATTAACGAATCGGCCTAACTACCACCATCCACCAACCGCATCCATTTTCATTGTGAAAACGACGACGTCTGTTCAATTCCCGGCAACCACGGCTACTCACCGTCCGTCGCCTGGAGGCTGTAAATGAGGCCCAGCGCCAGGAAGCCCTTGGCTTGAAACTCGCCCGCCCGCTCCTCCATGTCTACGACTGCTTTCGCAAAAAACTCTCCCTCCTCCAGCTGCCACGCGGCCAGGAGGGGGCACACACGTGGGGGCACACAAACGCACGCACATGCATCAGCGCGCATCAGCGATGTGATAGTCCGGCCATCATTGGCCACACTTAAATGTTCCTGCTCCCTCCATTTTTTTTTATTACAACATTTTCAACACGAGCGTGGTACAGAGCACAAACCATGACACAGCGAGGAGGGGGTACAGAAACTCCGCGAGCCCAGTCAAAATATTTTCTCGTAACATTTTTTGTTTCGGGTGGCCCGTAATGACAGGCATACGTGTCAATGATGGCACAATTCTCACGCGCACATGGCAAATCGTTTTCAAATCGCTGCCCCGCGTTTCCAAACAGGAAACGTTGCTGCCGAGGGACTATTAATGTCGCTTGATTTACGCCGCAGGATCGTAAGCGCATGTCCACAAAGTGGCTGTGCAAGGTGAAGGTCTAATATCTCAACCTGAGCGGCAGCGATTGAGAAAATAACTCGGCCGCCTTCACTCTCACCTCCACCGCCCTCCCTCAAGAGGGCATTGCTAATTGCCCACATTAATCTGTAAAATAAGTATTATTCGGAAGGTAAATACACAGGCCGGCAAAACCAGGAGGGAATTCCAACACTGGCAAGACCTTCCCTCCCCAACCCCTGCACAAATGCAACATTCCAAATGAATGATCATGAACGCATGATAGTGCATAAGGCTGGTGTGGATACGCTGCTTTAGAGTTGATCTTCTTGGAACGTTGCACTGCCACTCAGGGGAGACATAGGGAGACTCCCTGCAAGTTAAAGCGGTCGATGCGCACACCATTAATGTAAAGCCGATAGCAGCAAGAGCATGAGTGAGCACACGTAAACGTTGATTAAAGTAGATGTATTGACGTGCCTGGCTGACGCACCAATCTTATTAGAATTAATAGCATTAAGGTGTATAAATATTTATAATCCAGTGTCTTAGCGAGCACAGATACCGCAAATCTGCCAAGGAATACCTTTCAATCTTTAATGCAGCGCTGGCAGGGTGGCATTATTAGCTGTCACAGTGTGGCTCCCAGATGGAGCCCTGCCTAAGTAGGGATTACGGGGCATGAAGTTTTACTCATTCCTTAATTCACTAACTCACTCATCCCAATTGAATGAGCATTTTATCTAAATGTGAATATTTCTGCACACTTCTGATGAGACAATGAATGGTGTATTTTTGTTCAACTGCAGAAAAACAACTAAGAAAAGTAACGTAATTATTTATTCCTTATTAAAGTCATTTGGCCCACAACGGCTGGCACACGGTTGACCTACTTTTGTGAATGACGTCACGGAGCCTCTAACGAGCAATTTGTGACAGACGATGGGAGCAGTAACGTCCAACAGACGGCAGCAGATTGAGGGCTTTCAACTCACAAACTATCGCAGTCCCGTCGTCTTCGCGACGAGCATGAACCCGTATTGCCATACCTGGCAACCTCAATCTAACTCAGCTTTAAAAAGGGTACGACATAACCTCAAGTCGTGTAGAGACACAAACCCACCATGGTGTAATCTAGCAGAGGTTTGGCAAAGGGGCTGCAAATTTTTGTTAATGATTGTTTTTTTTATAAAATCGAGGAAGGGTCATGGAGTGAGGATATTTGGCCACTTCCATAATGAATGTTATTTGGGCTTTTAGGAGGATGAAACCAGAGGTCGCAGCAAAAAATAACACAACACACACATGACAGAATAACACGTTTCTGCCAAGTGGGTTTATGAACCCTCTTGCTCTACTGCTATTTACTGGTCACCTTGTAGGCCCCAGAGGTTTAGGAGATTCACACCTCTATGCGATCTACCACCTTGTGCAAAACCTTAGAGCCAACCTCATGGGGCACAATGGTCATGAAACACATTCACTCTTGCTCAGTATTTCCACATTGATCCAAAATACTGAGCTCCGGGCTTGGACCAATTTGGCCATGAAATTATAATACGTACCACAACAGCAACTCGCGTATCGATGGAAACACGCGTGCATTACTCCCGCCAGATTCACTGCAGTGCGAGAGTTCATCTGGGTTGATACAGGGGTTTCTTATGACGCCTCATTTCCATCACCACTGGGACCTGTCCTCTGCTGGCCTAGGAACAACACTATTGCCCCGGTTGTGTGGGCCTCCACGTGCCATGAGATGACAACCCCATCTCCCAAACTGTCCCCACCCTTCGTGACTGGAGGGTGGGAGATTGGGAAGTGATGTAAAAACGGTTAATTTATTATCAAGCGAAATGTAGCCATGCATTAGGCAACACCAGATCGAGTCCAAATTCATTCGGTTTGTCATTTTATTCCGTGCAATTTCAACCATAAATTTGCCTGGGAGATGAAGCCAGCGAGTGCCATTAGCGACGTGCACGTCTCTACCCCGAGTTGACCCTGTGACACCGCGACTGGGTGTGGGTTCGGCCTCGTTCTAATCCCTGGAACTTCGCGCACAATAAAGAGGCTCGGCAACCCTGCCGCAGGAATCGATCGTCATTGGAAGGGCGGGGCAAAGTCGCTATGGGGACGCGGGCTCTATTGATCAAGCCTGGTGCAAGCAGCATCCCGGAACTTTAGCCAAGCTGGAATCACAGACACATCAAGGCGTAAAATCACCACAACCCAGCCACCTAAATGCGAACAAACATTTTCGGACCCATGTCTCGAAGCTTTAGTCAGCCGGGAGAGACATCGGTAGCCTGTGGCTGGATAAGGGTTCAGCTTGCCATGTCCATTAAGACGTTTTTGAAGAACAAAGAAAGGCATTATGTGTTTTTGCCTGGTCTTGAAGACACTGGACGGCACTTAATCAGGTTAGAACAACGCAAGGGAGGTGCAGCTACATCTTCCGCGGGTGTGGGATTCAACAATAGCATAATTTTGATTGCGGTGAAGTGCGATCCATCCTTCACACATCACCAATCAATGCCCAATACACCCTTTTTTAAAAGAGATACAAATGGAATCCATCTGGCAACGTCAACATTTAATTGAATGGCTTTCCAAATTCAATATACTGTAATAAACCCAGTTTCTTTGTTTTTCATCCACAACCAGAATGAAGGGTGCAGAGTATAGGATTTCATACCGTCCCTATCTCACTACGCACCTGCTTTTTCAAGCTGCCACCACCACCACCGCCACGACTGCTACCTGAACGACCATGCACCTCCGTAAACATCGCGTTTCTGAGCAGAATGGACAGGTTTTGTCCAGCCTACACACCGGCGCACCGCCACCCCCCACACCGCCCGCCGCCCCCTCTCAACAAAGTCGTCTGCACCGCGCTCACAGGCTGTAACACCCTGGCCCCCTGGTGCACCGTGTCCCACTAATCAGCCACGAGTCCATCCAATTCCCTGCCACGTGGGAAGGTCAACGAGATATACCGGCAGTGCCTCGCAGCCGCTGCCCCTCGCGATGAGACGCATAAATTGGCTTTCTTAGGGACACTCTTTTAACCCGTTTCTAAAGTGGCATGTCAGCGCCGGGCAGCGAGAGAGCCGTCCACGACGATGACCTCACTGAGCTGCATCCCTAGATAAGGAATGCGTAAGAGACGGATGGGAAGTCCGTTTTGAACGTGCAATGAACGCATGGGAAGTGCACGTTGGAACATGAAACGAAAGGAAACGCCGTCCGTTTAAAATGCATAATGAACGGAAAGGAAAACTGTTTGAAATATGAAATTGACAGGAAGCATATGTCCACTATGCGATGGATAGGATGTCGATTAAAAAATATAAAATCAAGTCAGGAAGTGCATTTTCAATGCACATAATTAACAGAATGGATGACTGTTTCAAATATTTAATGAGCTGACAGGAAGTCCGTCTTGAATATTTAATGATAGACAGGAAGTCCGTTTCTTCATTAACCAGCAGCCTGATTCAGCTGAAGAGACAGTGGAGCTTGAAACTGGTCAAGATGGCTTTCCTGCATGACATTTTAATGGATAAATATTTTATTTTATGCAGAAAAATGTATTTCCTGTTCGTTCATTATGCATTCGTTAACCATGAACCTCCACCACAGCAACAACAACAACCGCCATTCGCCACTACGTGGCGGTGACGTCACCACGACACTTGTGCCAGGCCATGTGCACCTTCACACCACGTGAAGTGTCGAACGCCCGCTGGCAGGTCACGGGGCAGACCCAGGTGCCACGGGTCGACTGACTGACATGACCTAGAAACACAGCGTGTTTCACATACAGTATATGTCTTGCATCCCTTGACAATACTGTACAGCGTTATGGACTTAGTCCGAATAGTGTACGGTACAACCCTTTGATATTCCACTTCTGGATGAAGGCTTCCCAACGCCACAGGCATAACTTGATCATACTTCACCATGCCGGTTGGTGAAGGCAAGGGAGTATAAATATGGGAGCATAATACGAAAATAAAACTAAACTATTTCTACGTTCACCAGGTAAAGCCCACTGAGCTATACGGCTGTTTTTCAGAAGCGACCTGGCCACAAATGAGAGCTTAATGAAGTGGCCTATCGTGTGGACATTTATAGCAGTCAAATAATCTAAACGCATGTTTGTAAATGTGGAGGGGAAAACCAGAGGACGCGGATAAAAATCCGGAGAGAGAGAGAGAAATGCAAACTCGAAATATACAGTCGGCGTCAGGGTCAGGATCAAACCCACGACCTCCTGTATTCCAGGCCACTGTGGCGCCCCAAAACGTAGAGTACAACAATGTATTTTGATGCACTGCCTTCTGCTGCCCACAAAATAAGCCCCGCAGTCTATAACACCCATACCAAGCACTTTCCACCATCCAGGCTCAACGTACGAGATCTGATGAACTCTGAGTGGATTCAGGGTGATTTTTGTCAGTCTCAAGAGCTTTCCGTTACAAGTGAAAAAACTGGTGAGCAACCCCCTACACGCGAGGGTATATAACGCAGCCCAATTCACGTGGGATTCAACAATCCCGTTCTTCCAATCTTCGGTGAAAATACGGCCACG